TGCAAAAACACGTACCTGGTCAAAATCCTGTAATTATGCTTGTGAAGTCTATGATTACAATTCTCGATTCTTAGACTTTGGTGGTGAATGGATAATTACAAAGAAATGGGGAATTAATGACATGCAGCCACGAGCCGTAGAAACTTGGATTGGAAACACAATTGGTACTGCTGGTGTCTTTCCAATTATCATGTATACCGATAAGAAAACTGGTCATTTCTTAGGATTAGACAAACTTGATGCAGCACCAACGCTGAAAACGGGCGCCACATTTTGGTTTACGGATCATGGTAATACAACGCCAAGAACTAGCATCGAAGCCTATCACCCAAATGTTGTAGAAGCTGGATGCGTTAAAACTATAACTGAATGGATGGGTGTTGAAAACAATGCTGATATTGGTTTGAGATTTGACTATATTCTAATCATGTTTCCTTTCTTTGTTTTTAAATATCTTTCGAATGTAGATCTAGAACTTTTCTAAACAATTCGAATTATATCATGTAGAAGTGACTTATGTTTGTCAAGGTATTTTACTGGCCGTCAAACGATGTTCACTCAAAAAACAAGAAACATTACTGCACTGCTCAACTTGTGATGATAATAATTATAGTTCGAGGCTGCAATGAATCCAACAGTGTAGCCATTGTATTTATCTACTTAGGACATACAAAAAATATCGAGATTAATCTTATATAAAAGTACGGGATGCTTGCGACAAAATTCTGTTGACACATATATGTAGCACTAAAAGTACTCTACATGTTTGTATTATAGTAACATTAGTCAAGTGATATTATCATATGAAAAATTTTAATGAAAGCAATGTACCATTATTTTTTAAGTCGGATAAGGCAAATTTTCGTTGCTGTATTAGGGCGCATACTGCACTTAATCATCGACCAAAATCAAACTATGATGAATTATATTTTGTCTTAGGCGGTCAAGCGTCATCATATAATACAGTGGCCAAATGATGAAAACAGTTTCGGAAAGAGCAAGAAGTGACATTAAGCTTAAGCCACGACTTGTTCGATCTGTAACCGAGACAGTGTCTGAAAATATTGAAAAAGTTCGCTGGCTCATTGATGGTGAACCCCATCTTACGACTGATGAAATACAAATAGAGACTGGTATAAGTTTGGTGACGTAGTAAAAGATAAAGAGTCATGAATTTATCATAGATAAAATGACTGAAAGTCATCGAATTCTGCATGGACATCAGCTGGAGGAACTCTGCCTACCATGGTGGGTTGCAGTGACTTTCCTCAAAAAACCCTATTTTATATTTTTGTCAAAACTACTGATCAAGTGGTAATTCTTTAGGTTGATCAAGTAGAGATCCTCGGTCATCACTATTATGTCGATAGTTGCTAGAAGCTTATAGCCGAGAAAATTTGCAAGACAAAATCAATATCTGATGCACATACCATAAAACTTCATCACGAAAACGTCAAACCACATATACATAAATATGTTTCAAGCTATCTCTAATCGAAAGGTATCAAACCCATTCCGCAATCACTGAATTCTCTAGACTTGACATTAAATGAATTTTGTTTATTCGATGTAACCAAGAGCATCAACTCGATTAACAAAGATGATTATTAAAAAAAACTATCCACAAGCGATTTGAAGGAACTCAATTGTATGTAAATAATCAGGAAAACTAGTGTCAACATTTAAAGAAATAAAATCTGAAATTACTTATTTCTGAATTTTTTTTTCTTAAAAATCTCGTTACTTTTGGTATGCCCTAAGTATTAATATCTCAAAAAATTTGTATTTTAAAGATAACATCTTAAATTTGAATCAGTACATGATGAACAGAGTGTGGGTGTGCGGATGAGTGAGAAGATTCACACCCAAACCCACACCCTTCTTTTATTTCACTGAAATTTATTTTGTATAAATAACCAATAAGGTTATTCGCAATCTAGTTTAAGGAAACGTAGTTTATCCAGTTACAGCTGATTCTTGACTATGCTTCTGGATTTTTAAAAAAAATTTCAAAATTTTCCGGATTTTTATACATTTCCAATCTAGACTTTTAACTTACATATTTGGCAACTCTGGTGTGAGTGTTTTTCTTCTGATCGTCACTCACACTCAGCTCTTACTTTCTTTGATATGATGGATAGTTTACAGTGTGTAAAAAAATCTTTACATCAAATGGAAGCTTTTATTATAGGAGGTTCTTATTAATTAGTAGATCAATATGAGACAACTTATAATAAAGTATTATGCTAAATTAAATAATCAATTGTATAGATGTTGGGTTAAATATTTGATAAAGATATCGTCGTTCATTATCCGAAAGATTGTTATAGGTGGCCAACAGCGAGTTTAATGCTCTCATATTTGTCATTGGATATGGAATACTATGCAACTGATTATAACTAATTGTTAACGTGTATAATGTCGATGATACTTCCATGATTTCAAGTGGAATTGATAAAATTTTATTATTATTCAAATCTAAAACTCGTAAAGATGTATATTCTCCAATGCCATCGATGGATGCCAAAGAATTATTACTTAAATAAAGTTCACGAAGATAAATAAGTGGTGGTTGTTGAAAAATATTTCCTTGAAAGTTATTCCTCGATAAATCAAGAACTTGTAAATTGGGTAAATCCGTTGATAATGTTAATGGTAATGCTGACAATTGATTTGATTTCAGAACCAACTTGACTAAAGATTTTAATGTCAAAATACTTTCTGGAAAGGTTGTTAATTGACATCCAGACAAATCAAGATTTTTAATTAATGGCACATCACGAAATGAAATATTTTTCGATAGAGCACTTGCTGTAATACTAATAGTGGATAAGGATGGCATGTTTTCAAATGAAATTGATTCAAAATTAGAAAAGAAAGATAAACTAACACTATTTAAATGAGATAGATTTTTTAATGTAGCTATTTTGAATTGTAGACCGTCACTTAATGAAATTGTTTGAAGATAAGATACGTTTTCCATATCTAAAGAAATTAATTTTGAATTTGATGACATCGTTAATGATAATAACGAAGATAAATTTTGAAATTTTAATGTTAATAATTCAGTATTATTTTG